GTAACCTTTCTTCAAGTGTATTGGAACCAAAGCGGGGTGGGGTTTCCTTCCAAAATAGGGAAGAAAGTAAGATGGCAATCTCCTTCCCAGTTGGAATGCTTTTGTTTCATGAATAATTGATCATTGTCACTTGGGCATTTGGATAACTCATATTAGAGTCATCCTCGTCGATCTCCATATGCCTTGTTAATAGGAGACAAATTGCAACAAGAGTGCGGGGGGGGGGATTCTGGAACGCTCGAGGCTGATGAGCAGATGTAGTTTTATTTCCCTTGGAGCCTTATGTTTAACTTCGTTTCTATTACAATACTGGGATTCATTCAGATGCATTGCTTCAATAAATGGATTTACTGCATATGCTACCTGTTTGCAAAAACGAAGTCTTACCTGATTTATATTGCAATTATGTATCTCTAGAATAAATTTTTTTTTTTTTTGGGGGAACAGATTGAGGAGATGAGGGAGAAAGGAATCGAATTGGAGTTTCAACCTGATGTTAAGGTCCTCCCCCCATTTCTCCCCTGAACACACACACACACACAAGAGCAATTGGTTATCCTTATTTTATATATTTGTATCAATGTGTGTCACAGTTTGGAGGCCGATTTTGACATATGTCCTTATTTTATAACAGGCTACAATTTTGAGGGTGCGCTGCCTCTGCGTTCAGTATCTAGATTTTGGGGATACTTGGCAAGCATGGTAAGAGATCTTTTTTTCTCTTTTTTTTATTATCATGTTTGATGTTCATCAATGTTTTTGTTGAACCTCAGCTTAAATTTGCTCGAGTTGCAATTTTGTTTTTTTCCCCCTCTCCTTGCTAATTTGGCTTCTCTCTCGTCCTGCAAATTAACAGTGTGTTGCCACAATTTTTCCTGTCTAAATAATTTTCAATTGATTTTAATTTGAATATTGTCTATCTTTTATATTCTTCAAGTGACATGAATTACTAGGGTTATTGTGGAAAAATTTTCAGGAAATTCCCGTGTGTTTAAGACCATATGTTTATAGAGCTTGGGCTCGCGGGCATTTCATTCAAGTATGACTTTTTGTCTCTTCAGCCTTTTATTCCAATATTATTCTTCACATTATATGTTAATATGATCCCATTGACATCTAGATTTAAATGAAGCTGCTTTACCTTTAGACAAGTATGCCTCTTTAAGGGATTTCTTTGTTCGCACTCTGAAAGAAGGTTCCAGGCCCATTGACCCTGATCCACAATGTCCTGGTAACTGGTAACAGCTTTTAAGAAATCTCAAATTTCCTATCAGTTTCCTCTGTTAGCATTGTTGACTTATACATAATGTATGACCATTCAGGTTAGTCCTGTGGATGGTACAGTTTTAAGATTTGGAGAGTTGAAAGGAGCAGGTGCGATGATTGAACAGGTCAAAGGATTTTCATATTCTGTTTGTTCTCTTCTTGGTGCAAGCCAATTTTTTCCGACTGCGGCTGATTGTAATATACATGAGAAGCATATTGAATCTGTAGTCACTAGTGATGAGAAGAGAAACAGATCTTGGTGGAGTGTCTCCTTAGCTTCTCCCAAAGTTTGGGACCCTAAATCATCATGGTAATTCGATGTTGGATTTCTACTTATTCCTGTCTGGTTGTAAGTTCATAATTTAACAGGTCCAAATGGTTTAAGGATTTTTTTTCTTTTTTTTTTTTTGGTTTTTGGGGGGGGGGGTTAGTAATTGTTGAAGGAAATTGATGTTTGCTTCTCAGCTGATTCGCTCAAACTAACTCCTCCATTTTCAAAATGCATCTATGGTTAGTTGGATGTCAGAGGGCATGTGATAATCCATATTTGTTAACTCGAGGAGGTAAACTGAGCTGAAAGTGTTGAAATATTGTTGGTGTCATCATTGCTTTTTGCGTCATTGCTTAGTTTATCTTGGATTTTACTTTTGTGTCTCTGTTGTTTGAAAAACATTAGTGTAGCAATTTGTGTCTCATTTGAAAACATGAATCTTTTGTTTCTTTGTTTAGGAAACCTGCTCCTCAAAAACACTTAGGCTTTTCTGCCATTGAAATAACAGAAAATAAAGGAGAGAGAGATTCTATCAGATCAAGGAATGGATGGGTTCAATTACACCAAATATCAAACAGCAAGTCTTCAAGCTATTAGGCAAATAAAATTACTCCCACACGCTGCATAGAAATAGTCACAGCAGAATAAATAGATATCTAAAGCAAACACTTCTTTAGCTTTTGAGAGGTTAGGCTTCTCTCTTCACACTAGGCCAAATACTTCTTTATTTTCCTCTTAGATGCTGACCGCTTTCTTTTTAGCCTCTCTACTACGCTCTCTCTCTCTCTCTCTCTCTGTCTGTGAACTCACCCCCATGCTATATTTTATCTCCATTCTCTTTCTATATTCCTTCTTTTTCCTAGTCCCAGGAGTGTGGGTCCATCGGTCTGTTGTAAAACACAGGTTCTATGGAATTAGGATCTATATTCTGTTTTCTAGTCTTAATATTGATTTTTAAATGCGAGAAGAATTATCTAGCTTCTTCCTGAAATGTATATGACTGGTATCCGTCAGTGTGGCCCAATGAGAACAGTATATCTGCTATATATTAAAAATGATACAGATGAATGCACTGTATTGAAGGCTCGTATATAGTCAAATTTCTATTGCAGTCCAGAGAGAGGCCTCTTCTACTGTGTGATTTACTTAGGCCCTGGGGACTACCATCGCATACATTCACCTGCTGACTGGAACATTCTCGTTCGCAGGCATTTCTCAGGTGAAAAGATTTGGTCCATGAGCTTTTGTTTAAACAATTTGAGAATGATTGCTGGCTGCGATCTGTTCTTATGAGGTTGTCCATGTCTGTATTATGTTCCTATACCCGATATTATTGTCATGAGTAAGATAGTAGCCCTTTCAAGAAGGACTGTGAGGAGAAACGGTCATATCCAATGAAGTTCAGTATGGTGACTACTAGGGATGACATTATAGTTGAGAATGATCTCTCACTTGTATGCTTTTCTTTAAAGTCATTATAATAATTTGGTTGTAGGCTTTTCCTTGTAAAAACAATTAACAGTAACAGTGAAGTAGCATAAATGCAGTTACAGCTCTTGCGTCGTGTGTTGAAAATCAAGATGTTTTTTCGGTGATGACCGTTGGAATCAATGGGATATGAAAAATGTAGAACTAGATTTGACAATTTATTTCGTTAGTTGTCAGCATCCATTTTTCTATTTTAATCTAATCTTATTCCCCCTTTGAATTCCCATTCTGTTATGTTGCAGGACGTCTTTATCCCCTGAACGAACGTGCTACAAGAACGATAAGAAATTTATATATTGAGAATGAAAGGGTAATTTGCCAAGGACAGATGCAACAATTTTCTCTCCATAAACCTGTATTATCTTTTCTTTCAAGCCTTGTCTTGTTGTTTCTACTGACAAGCAATAAAATTAAATGAGCTATCTTTAGTTATACAGAATATTCAATATTTTATCTCTCTCTCTCTCTCTTGAAATTTTCCTAACTTTCTTTGTGCTGGTCTAGCTATTTATTTATTGAGGATGCTATTGTGTAACTCTTTAATGACTTCAATTTATGACACCATGATCAACATTTCAATCTTAACCTCTACGATTTATGATCACCTATCATCTTTCATTGATTTGCTCCTATTTTTGCAGGTTGTTCTTGAAGGTCTATGGCAACAAGGATATATAGCGCTTGCAGCAATTGGGGCCACAAATATTGGATCAATCCAGGTTTTTTTACCAGTTCCTTATGGTTGTATTAAAAACAAGCTCATGACACAAGTACAACCTTTACAATATGCTATATGTTCATCTGTTTTGGTTTCAAATTGTGAGTTAACGTTAAATTTTCTTTCTAAATATGGTGGTACCGGGTTGAAAAATTTAAGCCAGAAAACTTTGGAACACAATGGCAGGGATGGCATGTTGCGTTTATTGTTCATAATAAATTGAGCTTTCGATTAATGAATTTAGTTTTAACTCTGACACGACAGCTTCTCATTGAACCTGAACTCAAAACCAACAAGCCAAGGAAGAAGTTTCTTCACTCGGAGCCTCCTGAGGAACGGGTTTATAAACCTGAAGGGGTTGGTAAGATGCTGTCCAAGGGAGACGAGGTTAGACATGCACCTTGCTTATCTTTAATAATTTTGTCTACTTCATTTACAGTTATAATAAAAAGAATTACAAAATGGCTGCTAGCAAGTAGAGAGAAGTTGCTGGCCTGCTATGTGATTTCTTATCCCTTTGCTTATTTACCAGTGAACTAATGTAGTTTACTGTGTCCTCAGTTGGGTGCTTTCAACATGGGATCGACAGTTGTGCTTGTTTTCCAAGCTCCCATTTCGAAACTGCTCGAAGGAGGAGGAGGTTCCTCACCGGAGTTCAACTTCTCTGTCAGACGTGGGGACAGAGTACGTGTTGGTGAGGCTTTGGGAAGGTGGAATTAAGTTTACGGTGGCCTCTGCACAGAGTACAACAATCACATTATGTATAAAAGAATATTTAATTGTGCCCGGGGTAGATTCCCTTCATATTAATCCGAGATTTCGAAACTCAATACTGCTTTAAGAGTCAACTGCGTTCATCATAGTGGGAATTTAGTTCTGCTATTTATTTACTCCTCCAGTTCTATGTTAGATCTAATTAACTAATTTAAATAGATTAAAAATATTAATTAAATTAGTTAATATAAGTTTTTGAAAATACCCTAAATATTTTTTTAATTCAGTCATTCCTTCTTCTACTTGATTATTATTGAAAGAATATTAATAATTTAATTTGAAAAAAAATTAATAAACATGTGAGATAAATTTTAGATATGATACCAACATGAATTTTTTTAATTATGTTTTAGATTAAGGGCGATGTTTATCCCGCCTCAAGATGTGACGTTGGTTGAAAGAGGAGAAAAACAAGCACCGGGTGGTGGGGGGATGGGAAGGAGCTCAGCCTCCGTACCTGATGTCATAATGTTTGGACTTTTGTTGTCTCAAGTCAAAATATAAGAGAATGGGAGTGTAAACTGATGCATCTATCTTATTGTCCTTTATTTAATTATCATGAATTAACTAAGGTATGACGATGACTCAACGGTTTTATTAGAAGCGTTTTTAGGAAGAAAAAGGTATGGTATATTTAAAACATCTAGGACTCATTTGGAATAGTTTATAAGTAACTTTTTAATCATGATTTATAAAATACGAGATAAGTATATGAGAAAAGTTTTGTCTTGATTTATATGAAATGTGTTTATAAGTGATTTCTAACGCTTTGCCAAACAAGTCCTTAATCAATAATTAAAACTAATTATTTGTTTATTAGTACTATATTTAGGGTCATACAGAGAGTACTTAGATTGTGTCTGAGACTCTTGCGTATCAGAATGGTGTTTGAGCTTTGGATTGAAAAAATATTAGTATTATTATTTATTAGTACTTAGTTTCGATATGATAACATAAAAGGATGAATGCCGTTTTTGGAATCTTTTCATTTATATGATTTTGTGGAAAGAAAACACCCAAAACTAACAAATTTGATTTTTTTTTCAAAAAATCATTAAAAAATTTAGTACAAAATTTGTATTGATGAGGTCGGAGTTCAGAATCCCATGAACAAAAGTTACAAAACCGCTCAACAAGTGTGAGGGATCTCAATGCGTTATTGCCAATGAAATATTTAATAGATCTGACGAAGCTTCTTACTCTTACCATTCGCCTCCCAAGTCCCACCACAACGACAGGCGAATCTGAATCCACTGAAGCCAAGCCTCCCATCCCGTCATTCTCTTATATCAGAATCTTGTTCCTGGGTTGACAGAGAAGGTTCGATCACAACAAGATTTAGCATTTCTCGGCATACTCTAATCTAGACCACAGAACGGCATTCACATTCTCATTTTCGAATCTGCAGATCTACACATTCAACTGTTCCTTTTTCTGTTTTTTTTTTGTTCGAATGACACAAAACAATTAGCTAAGGTCACCTGATTGGCTGCATTTAGCAACGACGAACTCCAAACAGGCCAAGTAGGATCAAAGTAAATGGAAATATGATATAAAGAATGAAATCAAAGGGAAAAAGAATTGGAGTTACACCTACGTTTGTTTAGAGTAGGACAAAGACGGAGGCACTCTCTTGTTCCGGAACATCATGTAGCCAACCGGCAATACGACTCCGATCATCATTATAGCGGCTCCGATAAAGTACCTGATTGGGCTAGGTGGCTCAACCTCTACGAAGGTCCTAACCTGCATCATAGGGACTTATGAAGTGAAACCGAGGAAGTTTTCAACGTAAATCAGATGAGAATCAGATCTCTCAAACCGAACGAGATCGGGATTGGGGCGACCAAGGAAGAAAGAACGAGAAACGGGTACTTACGGGCATACTGGGGAAGTCGAAAGCAGACAGATTCTTTGTGATTGCACTCGCTATCACTGCAGTTGTGGAATGGCAACACGGTGCTTTGGGGAATTAGACGCAGTACGATCTTGGCTGCTTTTGTTTGCCGACGCAAAGGGCCTAGCGAACCCGCCAGACAGATTTTCCATTGGCGACAGGCATTGAGTAAAGGGGAAATCACAAATAAAGACCCTCGAATTAGCAAAATCACTCTATGGTCACCTGAATATGCTAAATTACTATGAAGAACCCGGTCTCAAATTGTAATTATGAAATCATGGCCAAATTACCAAAATACTCCTCTTTAATTTTTTTTTAAAAAGAAAGCCACTGCCTCACCGGAATCCGGCCACCGGCGCCGGAGCTCCGGCGGCCGCTTCCGGCCACTGTCGGCGGCCGGACGCCGGGGTCCGGCCGCCGGAGCTCCGGCGCCGGCGGCCGCTTCCGGCGGTCTTCCTTTATTTTTTTTTTGAAACTGTTTTTTTTTTTAAATTGGGGGGAAGTGAGGTTGGGGGGATTTGATCCCCCAACCTAATGCTTCCCAAAATAAGGAATGACCATTGAACCAACAAATTTTTGTTAACATTATGATGCAAAAAAAATATAAGTTAACTCATTTACTCTTGTTCCAGGTGATAACAACAATACATTTGGAAATAACAAGTTTTGATTGTAAAATAACACGTCTGGAATAAAAATTTAACAATATGTTTTTTTTTATAACAATAAATTTTGTTGCAGGCAATAACAACAATACATTTAAAAATAACAAGTTCTGATTATAAAATAACAAGTTTGGGATTAAAATTTAATAACACGTTTTTTTTATAACAATACACTTTGTTTCAAGTGATAACAACAATACATTTAAAAATAACAAGTTCTGATTATAAGATAATAAGTCTGGGATTAAAATTTAATAACATGTTTTTTTATAACAACACACTTTGTTTCAAGTGATAACAACAATACATTTGGAAATAACAAGTTTTGATTATAAAATAACAAGTCTGGAATTAAAATTCAACAGCACCTTTTTTTATAACAATTAATTATTTTATACTTTTGGAAAATAAATTATTTATAACTTATAAAAGTACTTGTAATCTATTTAATTTGCTAAAAAAATAATTTTTATCTCCAATTTATAATCAGAACTTGAAGTATAATTTTTTATAGATTAAAAATACTTTTTTATTGTTCAAATTTATAAATAAAATTTAGGGAAAATGGCAACACACTTTTTTAATTTTTTTTTAAATTTTTTTAATCTATATATCTATACAAATTATTATAAATCAAACTACTTCTTATAAATTATAAATAGTACAATTTATTGTGGATTAAAAATACTTTTTGACTGCTTAAATTTATAAATGAAATTTATCTCTAATTTATAATTAAAAATACTATTTTATTCTTTAAATATAAAAAATATTTTTAATATTTAAAGAATGAAATAATATAAAATTTATACTATGATTAATAAATCAAAAATGCCTTATTATAAATACTTTATAATTTATAAGAAGTAGTTTGATTTATAATGAGCTGTATAGATATACAGATTAAAAAGTATTTTTTTAGAGAAATAAATATATTAAAAATATTTTTTATAAGTTATAAATAATTTATTTTTTAAAAGTATAAAATAATTAATTGTTATAAAAAAACGTGTTGTTAAATTTTAATCCTAGACTTATTATCTTATAATCAGAACTTGTTATTTTTAAATGTATTGTTGTTATCACTTGAAACAAAGTGTATTGTTATAAAAAAAACGTGTTATTAAATTTTAATCCCAAACTTGTTATTTTATAATCAGAACTTGTTATTTTTAAATGTATTGTTGTTATTGCCTGCAACAAAATTTATTGTTATAAAAAAAACATATTGTTAAATTTTTATTCCAGACGTGTTATTTTACAATCAGAACTTGTTATTTCCAAATGTATTGTTGTTATCACCTGGAACAAGAGTAAATGAGTTAACTTATATTTTTTTTGCATCATAATGTTAACAAAAATTTGTTGGTTCAATGGTCATTCCTTATTTTGGGAAGCATTAGGTTGGGGGATCAAATCCCCCCAACCTCACTTCCCCCCAATTTAAAAAAAAAAACAGTTTCAAAAAAAAATAAAGGAAGACCGCCGGAAGCGGCCGCCGGCGCCGGAGCTCCGGCGGCCGGACCCCGGCGTCCGGCCGCCGACAGTGGCCGGAAGCGGCCGCCGGAGCTCCGGCGCCGGTGGCCGGATTCCGGTGAGGCAGTGGCTTTCCCTATTAAAAAAAATTAAAGAGGGATATTTTGATAATTTGGCCATGATTTTATAATTACAATTTGAAACCGGGCCCCTCATAGTAATTTAGCATATTCAGGTGACCATAGAGTGATTTTGCTAATTCAAGGGTCTTTATTTGTGATTTCCCCTTGAGTAAATTTTAAGATAACGAAATTGAATTTAAATATATATTATCTCTCTTGAGGGGGAAAAAAAACAGAGAGAAGAATTATAATGAAGTCAAAAAAAATAATTACTTGAAGTTTCAGTAACAATCTAATCTAAAGAGTTTGTAATGACAAATTTTAGAGTAAAAAATAACAACTTTTAAACCTTATTTTATAATTATTTTTTTAAACCTTCTTATAATTTTCTCAACAAAAAAAAAGGTCAATTGGGAATTGGCAACAAACTTTTGATTTCGAGTTTAACAAAGATGGATACTTTGGCCCAAAAAAACAAAGATGGATGCAGGATCCTTACCCATACCAACTTTTATCACTAGTTTATAGGTAAAATGAAAAATATTTTGATATTTTGCAAAATAAAATAGTACAATTTTGATTTTTTTTATTATTACTTTTTGAAAACCCTACTTGAAAAAAAAAATAAAACAGTTAGATTTTGATACAACAGTCCGCACGTCATCAGATGGGCATCTACATTCTTGCCCATCTTTCAAAACGGGCATGAGATTGAATTCCAACAAAGAGAATTGTATTAATGCTGGGAAAACGGCTTTTTTTTTTGGGGGGGTGGAATTAAAAGAAAAATTGAGAAAAAGTCTCCCATTAAGAATTTGATTGATGAGAAATACCTTCATTTAGGCCTCTCTCATCAATAAAACTTTTAGTTATGGGACTTCTCCCCAATTTTCTAAAAAGTAAGGATGATTGGAGCACTAAACTATGTTGATAATGTAATTAAAACATGATATAACTAACAATTCATTTTGCTATGATTAATCTTCCATATATTGGCAAAAAAAAGAGAGATTAATCTTCAATATAAAAAATATAGGAATATAAAGAGCTTTAACAAGCTATGTGTCCTTTGATTTATCTTAAACTTATGTTTGTATAAAATTTAAAGAACGAGTTATATGGTTCATGAATTATGAGCATCATTATTTTATATACATTTTATCTTACATACTAAATGTGATACTTTATTTTATAATCCTTGTACATTGTATATAATGTACAAGAAAAGCAGTTGGCCAAAAAAAAAAAAAGGAAAAGGAAAAGTTGAAAACATATACCATTAAATATCTATCAAGTTGCATTACAAATAATACTTTTTTAATTTTAAATGTAAGACCTATTTTGTAGTATAAATTATACTCCTCCAGTCCTTAATATAGGACCCAATTGTTGAGTTGATTTTGGTCATAAATATAAGACCCATTTCTCATATTTATAAATTTTCTATAAATTACTCCTATAGATATTCCCTCAACCTTAATCAAGTAGAAGTGAAAGAGGAGGTATTAAGAAAGATGATTATGGTATTTTAGGAAAAACGTGTCACATTTCTTATAATTAACTAACTTACCTAATTTCCTTAATCTAATCAAATTAGTTAAATGTGTTTTATATTAAAGACCGGAGGAGTATTATAAAATGGGTTTATTTAAGACTAAAAGGATCATAATCCTTTTTTAGAGCTCTCTATATTACCAGAAAATATGCTTAATTTAAAAGGATTAATAGGATTTTAGAGCAACTAGAAAGAGATTTTTTAACCAGAAAGAATTCAATTCAGATGTAGGATATTTATCCAGAAGTTTTCGTAACTCATATTATTGACAAAACATGTGATTGTCATCCAAAGAGGTCATTGAACAAGCTAAAATGCCCCTTTATAAAAAAGGGGGGGTGCCTTTCAACCTCATGACCCGTGAATAGAGACTAATTTTTGCGCTCATTTTCGGCCAGGCATGAAGGATGAAGGAGACTGGGTGGGTAGTTCTCCACCTCTAATCAATCTTCACCTTATTGTAACAGTGATAAAAAAATGAGATTGGATTCAACGATTGAACTGGCTGGACGTGGCTCAAATTTGCTAACAACTCTGTTCAGATTAAAAAATCGTTTTTATGATTGAGTTGGGTTGAACCAAGTTGAGTTATAACTTAAAATTAGATGATGTTTTTGTTTCACAAAAAATACTGAAAATTAAAAAAAATCATTTAAAAAAATTGACAAACTCAATAAGCCCAACATATTTTTAGGTTGTTTCATTGCGTTATTTTATCGAAAATTTTGTAGTGTTATTGTGTTGATAATTAGAAATAATATTCACATATATATTACTATATTAATTATATGCATATAATTATTTTTATTAATGAAAAGAGGTTTAATCAGTTTCTTGTCTAATTTACTTTGTAATCCTTTTAATGCATTCTTCAACGTTTTATTCAAAAAAAGTATTTTTTTTTTAAATTTCACTGGGTCGGAAGATAAGCATGTGCATTATATATCGCTATAGGAAAAATTTATAATCAAAAGATCAAGGACATAATTTTTAAGTTGGTAAAAAAAAAAAAACATAATTTCAACCTCCTCCTTTTGATTTTCAGGGGGTGGGTTGATGTATGTTTAGTTTGGTGTTTGTCTTGTAAGCTTGTTTTCTTATTAATGTCTTAATATAGTCCTCAGTTTTCATTCCCAAAAAAAAAAACAACATAATTTTTAAATCGTAATTTATTGTTGTCGGAGGCGAGGGCCTGAATCCATAATCGAAATATCGCCGTACGTCATTACACTCCATATTCGCGAAGAAAAAAGTAGTTTGAGATTGTTTGGTGCAAATTTCTCAGGTAATTCCCACCCTTGGTCGGGATTGTTTCATTTATTGGACATC